AAAGACAGGTCTTCTGCTTAATCTCAGGAGGAGACCTAGCTTTACAATTCAGAAAAACTTTAAATCTGGTCGTTACTGCTCTTAAGATCAGGCTCATAGGTTGGACTGTATTTTGAAAGCTACTGACTCGGTTGAATGGAATATTCACAGGATTACCCAAACTGTGCATGGGGGGGGGGGGGTTATCGAAAGCGCCAAAAAGTATGTCTTTTCTCAAGATATCTTTGAGGTTGTCTGTAGCTCAACTGTCGCCTCCGGACTCCGCGGATATTTTGACGTTCCACGTTTTAGTGTAACATCTGTGATTTTTGTATAGAAGTGTTGGTTAATAGACACCATCTCTCCCGGACTGTCTTTTGGACTCAGAATGAAATAACGCTTAAAACATTGAACTTATAAGTAGAAAAACCTGATATTTATTAGAATTAAAGCAATAAATCCGATTGACCATCAAAGAGGCTTTCATATCACAGGAAGCAAAATGATCATTTTCAAATGGGTCGATAAGTATACAGACAGTATAATCAAATCCGTGATTGATGGTCCAGTGTAAAAGAAATTTGGTTAAAAATGTAGGACATTTAAATTGTATTGTCTCAATTTAAACAAGAGATAGGTATATCATTAACCTAGTTTGCCCATTTCACGTAATAATGCCATTCCTCCAAGGCAACACATGTTTCCTTAGACTTGAGGCCCTGCAAGATGATGTAGGCCTTCAAGAAAAAAACGGTTGGAAATTCAGTTGTCATTTCATTGATTTATTAGGTGCAAATTTCAAACAGATGTTCAAATGCGCTGTGCAATGAAGGCATTCAATATGGTCGAGTGTGAATGGCATATGAGTGCGCCTCAGACAGCCGCCAAATGACCCACGTCCATCCACATCTGTAGAGAGGGGACAAGAAGGAGCAGTTACAGTTTTAGAGGTGGGAAGAAAACCCCAGAGAAAAATTTCTGGGTAAAAACCTACGGAATCAGGTAGGGACTGAAAACCCAATCTACATATGGACCGGGAGTGAAAGGCACAAGGAAAGAACTACTTTATCACCAACCCGACTCCCCGAATGGAATCGAATTGAAGCAGTTGGAGCAAGTCCTTTTACTACAGAAACACAACAACGTTTTTGTTTTTTTTTAGTTTGTTTCCGTCCAATGTTTGCATCAAATGTATTAATGAGTCATTTTTGTGCGGGCAGTGACAATTTTCCACGTTTGTTTCTTCCAAATCAGACGATCCCAAGCCGTCGGAATCTGCGGCGATCGCAGAGGACGACAGCAACAAAGATGGCGACATCGAAGCCAAGGGCGACTTCTCCGTGTAAGTCTGTTCCCTTTTCGTTATTTCAAAATTGTCAAGGTCTAAACCATGAAATTTAAACTGGTAATCATTGCCCATCCCCAACAATCAACAATGCAGACAGCAGATTGCTTACTTCCTGCTGGAGGCAGTGTCGTAAATCTGTGCTGGAAATGGTGATTTATCTTTATCGGTGGGGGTAATGCTGTACGTGCAACGCGCTCAGTACAAAATGATTCTATGAAGAAAGATACCCTGTGCAATGTATATCCTGTTAAAACATTTTAAGTAATGGTGATGCTTTCTTCAAACGTCGTAAAATAATTCATATCATCCTTTTTTGTAAAATTTTAATTTAAAAAATCTGAAATAAATCATAATACACAAACCTTAAATATACAAAATATATAAAATTTGGCTAAACAAATTAACGAAGACATCTGTATATTCTTTTTTTTCTGAGAGTGCAATCGATGATAAAATTATGATCTATTTCGCAACACGTGTTCATACTACCCAGATTCCCATTCGAAATTAAATTACATTTGTACATTCTGTTAATCAGTTAATTACTTACAGTTATTAGGCAATCTACAGAAACCCAATTTTCAGGGTTTGTGTTTATTAAGGAATATTTTTCTTGGGTGGATCGCTAACAACAAACGAGATAATATGAAAAAAAGATCTAAAAGCAATGTTGTTCTTTCTTACTAATAAAAAGTTTAAACATTAGCGGTAGACACAAGCGGTACTTGTACCATTTTGGAGGGACATACATTTATATTGTATATAGCAGATCTGTGTCACTTTTTAACGCGCGTATTGGAAGAGAAAATGAACATATTTTCCTCTGAGAGAAGCGGTGTTTCAAACAAACCAAAACATAACAAAACAAGACCAACAAACGGGCAGACATATAAACATTTCGAAAAACAGACAGCCCACCAAAAAACAAATAAAACAAAACAAACAAAAAACGAAACGAAACAAAACAAAAAAACACACGAAAGCAAACATCAAAAAGCAAAGCAAGAATAGATGAATGAACATTTTTTGTGGCTCTCTGTTCATTTTATCGCTACGTTATAGAGCCTGGTCTGGACCTCAAATGTGGGTGTGTCGTGGACGACTTAGGAGGAGGAGGAGATATGCCTGCCATCCTCCTGGAAGACACCATTATAAAAAAAGAAATGATGTACAGGAAGAAAGCAACCCAGGTAAACGGCGCAAGATACTCTCTCGTAGATCCGGGAGCTGTGACTCCTCCCATTCCCAACCAGGGGTGGATTTCTTTTTAATATGATGAAAAAATGGAGATCTTTCGGACAATTCACTTGCACACCTTTCCCTAACGCTGCAAAAAGTCCCAAAGTTTTACAGCTTCACCCCTCAGAGCGATAATAAAAGGTACCACAAAGAGTTTGTTGTTGTCTCTCTCCCTTCCGAACCCCCCCCCCTGAAAATTTGCCTCTGGATTCCTTTTTGTCCAATACATGTTATAGCCGTAGGCAATATCATCGTGTGGATGAAATTCAATTCATAATCTGTCAGCAAACAGCAATACGGCCGGCCATTGACCAGCCAAAGCTGACCATGAAAGACTGAACGCATTTTATTGCATTCATTTCAGAGTTCCTAGATGAGGCCGAAGCCAACTTTTTCCTGAGGCGGCATAAGCGCAACCACATCTCCGAGGAATGTTGCCATGAGGGATGTTACTGGGAGGAGATTTTGGAGTATTGCTAGAGATTACGGCATGGAAACGGGCTGGCCTCATCAGGCCTCCAGCCCCGTCTATAGTCTTCAATGACATCGAATGTTTACTGAGCACCATGTACTTTATTTCCATTTTGTCCTGGTTACGGTACTTTCTGTCGCCTTCATTTAACAAGAATTCAAACCAACATCCGTTTTTATTACCATAACTATTGACACATACGGTATCTCAAAAGAAAGTTATAACTTCCAGGATAGCGGCGCGTTATGGTCAAAGAGGATCAGACGAGACGAGGCTGGCTCTTTTGCCAGGCTAGAAAGCGTAAAGCAAAGGAAAACAAAATAAGTTTGCAAAAACGCCGCTCTTTTTACTCGATATTTTAAGTAATCATTGCTTCCTGCTCCAAAGAAAAGGTTACAAAAGAACTTAAACAAATCATCTGAAAGTTTGCTCGGAGCAACTTTATTTAATTGGACGCGTAGATGTATTCATCACATTTCGTTCTTGAAAAATTGACTTATTTCTTGGATTATGAATTTGGTTATCATTATTTCCCCTCAAGTTGAAAATCTTCATTAAAATTATACGAAGCAGCATCTCTGTCTGATTATACGGTGTTTGATTTCAGTTCATGTGTCTTATCATGGGAGGAAGTCTTCTCGGACTTACCTCCTTCCTTTGTTTTCCAAACAATATTCCCACTCCCAACGATAAAACGGAAATGTACAACTTTACCACACACAAAAAATAGTTGGCTGATTTGAAGTTAACAACAGTTGAAAGTTTTCTTGAATAGAAAGGGACTGATCGTTACACGTCATCCACCGACCTCTAGTTTGCCAGGGATACTTTTTATGAAAGTCTATGACAACAGCGATTCGGGACGGGCAATTTAGAACATTGGCCTCACGGGGGTCCAAACATCCGGACGTGGCACCGTGTCCGAGTCCGTCCGTTTATCCAGTCCAACATAATTTGTTGCAGGCGCTGTAGTCGCTCAGAGGTCGTGCCAGCCCACACACTTTTGACTTAATCAAAAGAAAATTTCAGGGAGAGAGATCCCGAGAAAGGCCAGGAAGAGACCGACAATATGAATTCCAAGCTGGACCAAGAGAGGGCGCAATTTTCCTGACAACGGAGACTCCTTTGCTAGTAACTATGCATCGCTGATTCACCGACGACTATGAAACGCAAGCGTTGCAATCGCATCGCTACCAACAAAATGAACACTCCCGACCAATGTGGCTCCTTTCAACCGATGAGGGGGTGCTTCTACTCAGGGCGGATTTCGAGACAGGATTGGAGCAAGGGCAAGTTATTCAAACAAAGTTGCACCATTCACAACATAGGTGTGTCCTGGATCAGTCAATCGGAATCTATCCACAGTCCATACGATTTCATAATCTGCTTCTTCACTGTGAAGTTCCCCATGTGATTTGCATGAAAGATGTACACATTCTCCATTTCTTCCTGATTTTCTCGTCTTGTCTTGTAGTCATCACCGGTCGGGAAGTTCACCTTGTTCAGCCAGCCTACTCTCAACCGTTGTCCGTGTCTCGTCTTGAGTACATTGTTGAGGGATTGCTGGTCACTCTCCATCCCTTTGGCCTTCAAGAGTCGATTCATCCAATGTCGGACTACACCAAAAGAGATGACATTCGATTTGAAGTACATCAGACAGGGGCAGGGCAACCTATGGCCATTTTTACCGTCGTGTCCCTGTGCCAGCCAAAGGTCGTATTTCGAGTAATTTGGCGAGATGAAATCGAGGGGATCTCGAAACCAAAAAGAATCGACATCAACCATTAGGGTATCGAAACCTTCTTCTAGTTTGTCGATTAAATACTGGGGTCGTTTGTTGACGAGGCGTCGATACCCGGAATAACGGAACCTCTGAGGTTTGGGATGAGAGAAACCGTATTCAGTTAGTTCGATTCTGAGGTTTTGGTAATCGAATGTGCGGTTTCGTGTAAGATACCGGTAAGCCTCTGCGTCCTCTGCGATGATCGTGATATTATATTGTAATTTTAATCTTCGAATGCTTAAAATCCAGTTGGCGGTAAAATCCAGAAATCCACGATTGGTTGTTGTGAGGATAGTGAAAGGTCGAACGGTACGAGATAGATGGTCCTTGTGGGTCATTGCTTTAAAATGTGAGCTGGTCTCGGCTCGGGAAACGGGTGGATGACGGAACGCGAAATTGAGCTTCTCTGGAAAAAAACGAAAGGAAAATCACTGTGCGATAGAAAAAAAGCATGTAAGGAGAAGCAAAAAGACATCACCACAGGCCTGGATGGGGGGGGGGTAGGGGTCGAACCCTTCCCCCTTCTCTGAGACAAAAAAGTACTGTAAAAAAATAGAGAAAATAATATAACTAAGTGCACAAATACCATTGTCAACAAGGTACATGTATGCCATGTAATGTTTCATCATCGTTTGTCTGCAAAAATGAGACGTAAAAAAATCTTTGGCCCGACCCCCCCTGCAAAAATTCCAGGATCCGCCTGGTAATAATAGTGCGTTCACGGGTTTTGGGAGGCCCCCAAAAGTGGAAATTTTGATTTAAAGTGACCTTTTATGGTATATCTGTAGGGCGAGGATCCATTTGGGGGCTTTTAAAGAAAGAAAAATAAAACAGAAAACGTTTCGCTTTTCTTTTCGCCTCGAATTATTATTACCGACAAAAATTCGCCCTCTACGATGATATGATCGTTTTAGAGAAAACAGTTTGATGGACAGAAAGTTATAACTTCCAGGATAGCGGCAGCGTTATGGTCAAAGAGGATCAGACGAGACGAGGCTGGCTTTTTTGCCAGGCTATGGAGCGTAAAGCAAAGGAAAACAATTATCAGAAATTGGAGTGTTGTCTCTTTTTTCCCATGAGAGAACCCGAAGATCTGTTGGCGTGATGCAATCATCTTTAACCATAAAATAGGAGATTTTCCAGGAACAATCCAAAAGATATAGATATGAGACATAACAAAGTAATTTCTATAAAAGCGTAACTCGAGCGTAGCAAAGTGAAATGAAACATGGCAAATACCCGCAGGTTCCAACATATGCCGTCTCTTCACGACTGCTCCTTTAAAATACCTCTTCAAAGATTATCTTTGCATAGAAACTTTAAAAAATGTTGGCGAACAATTAGTTATCTTTTTTGGTCAAATTTCCCCCACTCTTGGAATTTTTTAGTTTCTTCTGAAATAAGAAAAAGGTCGTTATACCTTTCATTCAGTCAATACAGCGTCGTCCAGTGTTTCGGGCGATGTCACATAATAGGCGACAAAATAAGTTTGCGAAAACGCCGCTCTCTTTACTCGATATTTTAAGTAATCATTGTTTCCTGCTCCAAATAAAAGGTTATAAAATAACTTAAACAAATCATCTGAAAGTTTGCTTGGAGCAAGTTTATTAAATTGGACACATAGATGTATTCATCACATTTCACACGTTTCAAGGTCTGTGGGGCATTATTATCTTCAACTGGGCGCGTTTCGTCTGCCATCCAAAGGGCCTGATACATCATAAACGGGATGACTCGGGTAAATTATCGGAGAAACTCGTTTTTATACTCCCGCGCCTTTTGTGTTGCTTTGGAAATATCCTAAAGAAGAAGAAACAATATGCTTTAATGAAAAAATTCTAGAACTGGTCTGCCTTCTTGTCTTTTAAAGTAACAGTAGCTCTGACAGGCCCCTCCCCTAATCAGCATTTGCAGTTATTTATTCTTGTTGTTAGTTTAGCCACTCGAGCCGTCTTTTTTGCAGCATCTTCCCTAAAGTAGAAACATCGAGTTAAAATTCTTAGAATAAATCTGGTATAGGTGTTTCTTTATTGAATTATGACATTCTTAAATTTGATTGTTATGGAGGGTGGATGTGAGTTTCTGCTGTATTTTACTTGAAAATTAAAAACTTGGTAATTTATTCTGAATCTGTAGGGACTCTTTTTAAGTTCGCATACTGGTCAAGATGTTTAAATCTATCCTTGACATAATGTAATACCACTCTGATAGGCAACGTTTTAAAGATTTTGGTGCAGGAATAAAATTTGTTGCTTGAATGAGATATGAAATGCTATTAAGGATACTTATTTGGCATGATAACGAGCTTTAAAGAAAGATGGAAGAGAGATTTCGAGGTGTCCCCATTTTTTTTATTTATTTATTATTTGTTTTTACATACCTATCACGACTGTCCCCACCGGTTACAGTGAACAGTCCTAGAACAGGGCACAATAAGTGGCACATAACGAGATATATATACAACCATACGTATGAAGCCAAACCGCGATGGTTGTGTTTGTATTGCGCATGCCCAATGTGTATTAGACTTACGTTGCAGCCGTTCATCGTTATATCAACAGTAAAAACACCACCAATTTGTGTGAATTGCGGTAGTCAGGCGGTTACGGCATAATGATTTGTGATGCAAGGGGCGTGGGCTCGAAGCACGGGTTGGAATTGCGGGCAGGGAGGTTTTTTTTAAGGAAAATAAAGCCCGAATCCTATTGGAGCCTAATTTCACACGTGAAGTTTTTATGGTTGGTTGAGAATCTAGATGTCATGCATTGTGCATGGTTGTGAACCGTGGTTTGGCTTCATATGTGTGATTGCATATATAGCTCCACATAACACGAGAATTGACCCTGGTTCAAGGGCTGATCTACCGGAAACGCCAAAAATAATGACCCATTACCAGCACAGTGTGATCCTGAATGAAGGACGTTTTCGGGTCCAAGTTAGTCTTCAACAGCGCCCTCGTGCGATGAACTGAGCTAATCGATTTTGACACAGTGAAACAAGGACTACTAACTTCAGTTGAAGATTAGGGTCTCCGAGGATGGATCGGGGGCAGGGTGAACAGGGCCATGTCCCCTACAAACAGTTCTCTTAAAGATGTTTTAAAAATAAGGAGATAAAGGCAATTTTTTTTGGGGGGGGGGTTATTTTATTTCTCCCCCCTCCAAAACAAGTTTTCCCCCACCCATCCACCGACAATTTGATTCGTGATCCGCTCTTGGCCTCGATGCACAGGATTAATAGTAGGCTATACTGGCACATTTTTTTATCCCTTAGGCCGGGCGAACCTTCGTTCTGAATGTGCTCATTCATAAAAAATATAAGAACTAATGGCAAAAAATGTAAATTTTAACCATAAAAGAGCTGATGATTAAGAAGAAGCTTGGTTGTCATAGTTGCCACCCATTTGTAAGTTTACATAAGAAAGTCACAGATATGCATGCACAGTTCTGTATTCTGCACAATTCGTAGAAGTCCGTTTTTCGGTTGTTGCACCCACACAATCGCTTTGGCAATACTTCACAGGGCACAAAATTTAGTTCAAGATGATGTAAGCCAAGTTTGGCATGAAACTTTTCTATGAACTGAAACAAATCAACGTTGAGATATAGAACATGACAGAAATGAATCCACGCACTATTGAACAAAATGTGTATTTGTTTTCCAGCAAATCCCTGAGTACCGCCCACGTTTTAATTTCGTATAAAATTAAGAAAAGCTCAGCGTGAAATAAAGTTATTCAGTTCAATTGCCTGCAATTTAGTTCCCTGACTGCATTTATAAGCCTAACCACATGCTATTGAAAACCCCAAGCACATTTCTTATCTGAAATTTGGAATTCGATGATGAACCAAAAAACCCAATTACAACTTCGTCGTTTTTTTAATTAACAGTTGGCGGGTAATTTCGACTGGAAAACATGCTGGCATTTGTGTTATCAACAACGTTTTCACAAATAACTGTACCCAATCCAATAATGATCATCTCAAAAACAATCATGTTTTCCATAATCCCAGCTACAGGTCAGAAATGACTTATAAACGCGCAGTGCGATTTCGCTTTTGGCTATTCGACATTGAAATCCCTCACTGTCGGCAAGTGGAAACGCTTTCACGAGGCAAACAGTCTTACAGAGGTAGATACGTCCCAAACGAAGCCATCAGCATGAATCGCTTCATCCTACTGCTCTTACTCGGGGCTTTTGTCGCAGCAATCTTTGGAGGTTAGTTTTTTCTGAATCCGTTTACTTTGGCTTTGACACTAAACTCTTTATCACCAAATAATAGCTCTATTGCGGCAGCTGCGATCGATTATCAACTTCGTTCAATTTTTTTTCTTTTGTCGACTCCATTAGTTTTAAATCTCACTGTCCAAAGCACAAATAAAATATCTCCAACATTCCCTCTCACTCTCTCTTTGAAAAACTAAAAAATTCTGAAATTCTAAAAATTCACGACCACCCAACCAAATCCATGGATCTCATTTTTGCGAGCCAATTTGAATATGCAAAGAGGTGGCCACCCACAACGCTTGGTTACTCATTCAAGAATCAACCGGCGCGGACTAAGACGTGATGACTCGAGCTGAAAAAGTTGTCCAACGACAGACATCGCATCTGCTTTGTGAGAGAGACGAAAGACGGCCTTAAATGATCACGAACGTCTCGACGCCGACAGCAAAGGTCCAAAGGTTGTCTATGGCCCCTTTGACCCGGACAAACTCGTGATAGCAAAACCTATACTCGAAGAGAGCGAAACGGTAACGCAACGTTATTCACCCATTTCTTATAACACGACAATAAAGACGACGGCGTAAATCCAGTCGATAAATTTGGTGTCAAAGAAAAAAATCCTCAAAATATCGTTGGACGTCAAATATGCTATCAACTCCAACAACCTACGATGGATGTTTTGCGGCTTGCAAATACATCGGTACGCACGCGACTAAAAAGTCTGTCATACAATCTGCGTTTTGTTTATGAAAAACCAAAATCTAAAACAGACCAAGTGCTCAAACAATTAGACATCCAATTGACAGAAGATCAAGTGGGCTGCATAGAAAACAAATTAAACCAAATTTTACGAGGCAAGATCTCGAGAGGTCAAGTAACCCGGTCGCTCGTCGCGCAGACCAAACGTCGGCCAAACTCAAGGACCTCTTTTAAGTCTTGGAAAAACACTGGAGCGACACTTTAAAGCCGGTTACGACTTAAAATTAGACAGACTCGCGTTTATATATTGTTGCCAGTGAACAAAGACGTCAACTTTTATTAAGGACAGTCTTTAGATTTGTTACAAGCGGTGTCTACCAATCAACAATTCCGCAGCGATTTCGAATCACCTAATAAGCTAAAAAGCTGAAACATCGACGGCTTGAACTTTTTTGTCAAAACGAGCGAGGAGAACTCTTGAAAATCAAAACGCTGAGATGATCATTGAACTAAACATTTTTGTCAGTCTAAATTATAAAACGTATACTTTAAAAGAAAAGACTATGACAACGAACCTTTATCCTCCTCTAGAAAACGAAGCGGCAGAAACCAAAGTCTGCAGACTCCAAAAGATCGAAGACATCAAAGCGCAAATTTTACAAGAACATAACGCGAAAGAGACCTCTTACAAAGAGCTAAAGAGATGGACATGTGCTATACGATACGTGGAACACGGGGTCGAACTACTGGGAGCAGCGGTGGCCATCCCCGTCTTAATGGAAGTTATTAGTCCTCCGATCGGTCTCGTGTTGGAAGAGGCAAGCATGGGCACGTCTGCCTGTTATGCCTTGTTGAAATACTTCTCTAAGCGTTTGATGACAAAAACCAAGACATACGATCAAATCAAAGTACTGGCAGACGCTAAGTTAAACACGATCGAGGAATACGTCTCTCGCACCATCGAAGACGGCAGCGTGTCGGTGCCTTTTGGGAAAATATAACGTTTTGTGTCTGAAGGAGACAGGCTCAATTCGTTTTGCGTCACGGCGTACAGTTGATGTTTGACTGTTTGACGGATCTAAATAAGCTTTGATTAAAAAAGTTTTGACACTGTTGAAACAAGCAATTTTTATAATTCTCGTGTGACAGTTGTTTTTTTGGTCACGGTTACACCTTGGGCTTTTTTCAACTTTTGATCTTCTGACAAAATAGAATACATGTTGGAGCGTAAGCACACCGCTCCCGACACGAGTTTGCCGCCAAATTCGTCTTTCATCTTACCGATGACCTTTTTATTTTTAGCATCGTAAATTGGATGAGCCGTCGGGTAATTGCTCAAGTCAAACTGGTCCTTTTTTCCAGTTTGTATATGGGTCATGAATATGTACCAACAAAGAATCAGTGTCTGTATACATTAACTTTATTTTGTTTATCAACGTTCTGAATAAATCTAAGACGCATAGGGCCTCCGCCGCAATAAATCTGCTTGTCCAGCGTAGTGTTTATTTGGTACATTATGACAAACGATAGATTGCACTCGGGACACACCGTAGTTATTTGTAATTTGGTTGACGAGACAGACGTTTAAAACGTTTTGTATCTTCGTCTCGCAATAGATGCCCGTCGCTTCGATCTCTCACTTTTTCCATCGTTTTCCCAAACACCGAGTTGTTCATCAATTATATAAAAAAATCTTTCTCAAAGTTAGAGTTGGCCAGTTTGCGCAACTCCGTGTTTTCATCGATGTAACTTTTCATCCAAGATGTATTTTTGCGTTGGGGAGATATTAATTATATACAGCGGGTTTGCCCTTACCCAACGTATATTTATAAGCACTGTATACTCAGCGCTTGTCCGAGAGCTTGCGAAAAAACCTCACAAGCTTACTCGTGTGGGACTCGAACCCCCCCCCCCGCATTTGTATTGGTCATTGTTTGATCGGAATCTCAGGAATTCTTTACAGACTTCTAAGGGGATGTGTTCGTCGAAACGAATAGATTTAAGCACCGCATCGGCGCGTCGTCTCGGCATAACCACGACTGCACTGTACATACGGCAACGCGTGTCATAACGTCACGTGGTCGCGAGTTTTTTTTCCGAGAAAGTCGAGAGCGTCTGCAGGGGTAATAACAGTCCGTAACACGCATGGAACCAAGGTCGCACATGGATTTGCACTGGGGCCGCTGGCGGTTGCACATCCCTGGGTTAATGGTCCGTGCTTGGAGTAACTGTTGACAATGATTTGCGATCCAGATATTTAAATTGTTTTCAATGCTCTTTAATTGCATGTAACTATGTATTCCTTGCGCGCATATCGTTCAGGCCTCCACGGCGCAGGTAAAGAAACGTCATGTCGTTCCATGTATTCCAATAAAAATGATTTTTTCCCCCACGAATAATACCTATAAGGATTATGTCTATATTCTAATCTGACGTTACGAGTCTTTTTTAGCTCGGGCCATCACGTCTTCGCCCGCGTCGGTCAATTCTTGGATGAGTAACCAAGCGGTGTGTGTGGCTCCCCAGCTTTGTATATTCAAATAATGGCTCGCAAATATGAGATCCACGGGTTAGGATGATTTGTCGTCAATTTTTAGAATTTCAGACTTTTTAATTTTTTCAAAGAGAGAGTGAGAGAGAGGGCTGCAGAGGTGTTTTCAATTTTTAAAGATTGGTCCAGGATCGGCCATTCTCTACTACTACCTTAGTTTGCCCATTTTACGTAATGATACTATACCTCAAAGGCAACAAATGTCTTCTTAGACTTGAGGCCCTGCCAGATAATGTAGGCCTTCAGACAAGAATGAAACGGTTGGAAATTCAGTTGTCATTTCATTGATTTATAAGGCGCGAATTTCATACAGATGTTCAAATGCGCTGTGCAATGAAGGCATTCAATATGGTCGAGTGTGAATGGCATATGAGTGCGCCTCAGACAGCCGCCAAATGACCCACGTCCATCCACATCTGTAGAGAGGGGACAAGAAGGAGCAGTTACAGTTTTAGAGGTGGGAAGAAAACCCCAGAGAAAAATTTCTGGGTAAAAACCTACGGAATCAGGTAGGGACTGAAAACCTAATCTACATATGGACCGGGAGTGAAAGGCACAAGGAAAGAACTACTTTATCACCAACCCGACTCCCCGAATGGAATCGAATTGAAGCAGTTGGAGCAAGTCCTTTTACTACAGAAAAACAACAACGATTTTTTTTTGGGGTTTGTCTCCTTCCAATGTCTTGCATCAAATGTATTTATGAGTCATTTTTGTGCGGACAGTGACAATTTCCCATGTTTGTTTCTTCCAAATCAGACGGTCCCAAGCTGTCAGAATCTACGGCGATAGATAGCGACATCGAAGCCAAGGGCGACTTTTCCGTGTAAGTCTGTTCCCTTTTCGTTATTTCAGAATTTTCAAGGGCTAAACCATGAAATTTATACTGGTAATTGTTGCCCATTTCCAACAATCAACAATGCAGACAGCAGGTTGCTTACTCCCTGCTGGAGGCAGTGTCGTAAACCTGTGCTGGAAATAGGGGGGGGGGAATGACTTGCCTGGCAATTGAAATTTGGAAAGCGGTGGGAGGGGGGGGGGCTAAACCAAATACACTATAGAGGGCGACGTTCAAGACAAAGATGTGCATCTGTAATGTGTATCAAATTCATGTAGAATCTTACAGCACAATTGCATATTTGTTGCTTTATAAAATTGTTTTTCCTTTTTAGCGATATTGCAAACAATGTTGTTGTTTGGAAATCCTAAAAATTCTTCACAATCTGCTTTAATTTTTGTTGCTCGTCACAAAAAAAGTGTTTGGGACGGGGGGGGGGGTTGATTCAGTAGCCCATCCTCCACCCTCAAAAAGTAGGGGGCGGGTATATACCCCATAGCCTGGGATTTACACCCATGGCTGGAAGTAGGATCCTCGTAGAATCCTCCTCAATCCTCCAACAGGTGAAGGATTCAGGAGGGTCAGGGTTAATTAATCTCTGCTAACTGCTGTTGGCTATTGGAAGTAACACCGTTTGTCCTCACCGTATTGGTGATTTATCTTTATCGGTGGGGGTAGTGCTCTACGTGCAACGCGCTCAGTACAAAATAATCCTATGAAGAACGACACCCTATGCAATGTATATTCTGTTAAAACATTTTAAGTAATGGTGATGCTTTCTTCAAATGTCGTAAAATAATTCATATCATCCTTTTTTGGGAAGATTTTAATTTAAAAAAAATCTGAAGTAAAACATAATACAAATACCTTAAATATACAAATATATAAAATTTGGTTAGAACAAATTAACGAAGACATCTGTGTATTCTTTTTTTTTCTGAGAGTGCAATCGATGATAAAATTATGATCTAGTTCGCAACACGTTTTCATACTACCCAGATTCCCATTCGAAATTAAATTACATCTATACATTTTGTTAATCAGTTACGTACTTACAGTTGTTAGGCAAATAACTACAGAAACCCAAAATAAACTACAGAAACCCAATTTTCAGGGCTTGTGTTTATTAAGGAAGGGGTAGAGCGCTTAAAATAAAAGCGCAGACATCAGCGGTAGACACAAGCGGTAGTTGTACCATTTTGGAGGGACATAAATTTTATATAGCAGGTCTGTGTCCTTTTTAACGTGCGTATTGGATGAGAATATGAACATAATTTTCCTCTGAAAGAGGCAGTGTTTCAAACAAAACACGACAAAACAAAACAAATAAACCAACAAACGGACGGACATAAATGTGTAACTCAAAAAACAGAGAGCCCACAAAAACAAAACAAAACACGAAAGCAAAACAGATGAATTAACAATTTTTTTATGTGGCTCTTTGTTCATTTTGTCCCTACGTTATAGAGCCGATAATGGACCTAAATTGTGGGTGTGCCAGGGAAATGTAACGAACACTTTGAAAAACGTCTGCACTCATACTGGAAGACCACATTCAGACACAAGAGATGATGTACAAGAAGAAAACAATCCAGGTAAAGAGTGTGAGATACTCTCCTGCAGATCCGGGAGCTATGACTCCTCCCATTCCATCCCTCCCCATTGTATTTTTTTTTAATATGATAAAGAATGGAGATATTGCGGACAATTCACTTGCACACCTTTCCCTAACGCTGCAAAAAGTCCCAAAGTTTTACAGCTTCACCCCTCAGAGCGATAATAAAAGGTACCACAAAGAGTTTGTTGTTGTCTCTCTCCCTTCCGAACCCCCCCCCCTGAAAATCTGGCTCTGGATTCCTTTTTGTACAATACATGTTATAGCCGTATGCAATATCATCGTGTGGATGAAATTCAATTCAATTAATCTGTCAGCAAACAGCAATACGGCCGGCCATTGACCAGCCAAAGATTACCATGAAAGACTGAACGCATTTATTGCATTCATTTCAGAGTTCCTAGATGAGGCCGATGCCAACTTTTTCCTGAGGCAGCAAAATTCCAAGCAGATCTCCGAGGAATGTTGCCATGAGGGATGTTACTGGGAGGAGGTTTTGGAGTATTGCTAGAGATTACGGCGTGGAAACGGGCTGGCCTTATCAGGCCTCCAGCCCCGTCTATAATCTTCAATGACGTCGAATGTTTACTGAGCACCATGTACTTTATTTCCATTTTGTCCTGGTTACGGTACTTTCTGTCGCCTTCATTTATTATCAGAAATTATTAAAATTAACAGAAATTGGAGTGTTGTCTCTTTTTCCCCAAGAGAGAACCCGAAGATCTGTTGGCTTGATGCAATCAGCTTTAACCATAAAATAGGACATTTTCCAGGAACAATCCAAAAGATATCGATATGAGACATTACAAAGTAATTTCTATAAAAACGTAACTCGAGCGTAGCAAAGTGAAATGAAACATGGCAAATACCCGCAGGTTCCAACATATGCCGTCTCTTCACGACTGCTCCTTTAAAAC